TCTCAAAAAAAAAAAAAAAAAAAAAAAAAGGAGCTCTGTGCTGTGAAAGGAAGTAACTTGCTGAAGATTTCCTAGTTTACATATGGTAAAGCCAGGTTTCAAATCCAGGTTTTCAAAGCTTCAACAGTTCATGCACCACTGGTCCTCTGAGAGGAAACCTCCATGGAGGGCCAGAGTTGGGAATGAGTATCCAGAGAGGATGTGAATCTGTATTATTCTTTCTTGTCCCCCACCCCTTTTTCTCTGTGTTGGCCTTCTACTATTCCTGCCAGAAGAAAACAGCTTAAGGCTTGGTGCCCATAGTACAGTGGTTACGGCGCCGGCCACGTGCACCAAGACTGGCAGGTTCGAACCCGACCCAGGCCTGCTAAACAACAATGACGACAGAACAACAGAAATAGCTGGGTGTTGTGGCAGGTGCCTGTAGTCCCAGCTACTTGGGAGGCTGAGGCAAGAGAACCGCTTAAGCCCAAGAGTTTGAGGTTGCTGTGAGCTGTGATGCTACGGCACTCTACCCAGGGTGACATAGTGAGACTCTGTCTCAAAAAAAAAAAAGAAAAGAAAACAGCTTAAGTGACTTAAATAGAAGTTAAAGGCTTTATTTCAGTGATGTACACCAAGATAACTCAGTCAAACAGGAGTAGAGTTTTTATAGAGAAAAGAGGGGTGCATGTCTTTTGGTTTGCCGCAGGTAGCAGGTCTTGTCTTAATTATTGCAAAATTGTGCTTGGAATGCTTGGACGTTGTTTCCGTTTGTCATGCCTCTTGCTCAGGAGGGTTGGTCCCATCCCATCCCCATGACTGTCAGAACAGTTCTTTCAAAGGCAGGTTTTGAAAGTATCCTGGTTTGTGTCTCAGTCTAGATTCCTAGGCAAGATAGGTAGCCAAAAACTGGGGTAAAGGAAAAAGGTAGAAGGTGGAGAGGATCAAAGGGAAGGGAACTTGGACCCTCTAGCACGTCTGTGTTCATCCTTTTACAGACTTTTCAAATCCAGAGCCTGTCTCTTCCTAAGACTGACATTGTTCTTATTTCTGCTTTGTGTCAGGTGGCACCCAAAGATGCTGGAATCTTCTTGGCAGATGCCGCCATAAATGTTCCAAGAAGGAAAGGGTCTATGTTTACTGCGTAAATAGTAAAATGTGCTGTGTGAAGCCCAGGTATCAGCCAAAACAAAGGCCTTGGTCATTTTAAGTGTTTGGAGCCTGAAGCCATGAAAATGTAGATGAAGCTACCCGGAGTGTGACCCCAGTGGATTCCTGAGCTCTGTCAATAAACACTTCTGGACGATCCCTGTGTTTGCCTGTCAGTCCCCCCTCCTCCCCCAGCTTCTCAGAAGACTCCCTTTCAGGTGGTTTGGGGCTTTTCAAAACCATAATGACACATTATTTGCCTCTTTAATCTCACTCTCTCACAAGTGTCTGGTGGAATTTTCTAGAATCCACATAGGACAACATCACTGTTCTAGCCGCTAACAAAGCATGTGCTTATGTATTCTTGTGTTTCTTCAATCTTTTAAGTTCAAAGGCTTAGACGTACCTGTATTTTGCCATGTACAACGTGCGCCCGTGTAGAGTGTGCACCCACGTTTTGGGACCAAGGAAAAAATCTTTCATTTTAAATTTTTTCTTCTTCAGAATCATTTGTACTTATATCTCACCAGCAGAGATGGTCAGCTCAAACCCAGACAAATTAAAACCACCTCAAAAGGTCCATGTCATTACAGCACATCAGGGCAAAACCAGAAGAGGAGACAAGAGTTTAGCCTGAGTTCTTTGCTGAGAAAAGCAATCACAGGTGCGTCATTGTCATTACAAACTCCCTGGCAATGCAGCACAAATCTGCCAGTGTGGGAATCCCTGGGGGCTCTTTACATGTGTTGCTCATACAAGCCGCCTCTTCCTCTGTCACAAATGAGCTCTTGCTCTTTATGGGGGAAGGTGATCTGCGTGTTATTCTGAGTGATGGCACCATTTGTTTACTCTGGAACTTTGCTGGGGAGGTGACAACTTATTTTCTCTGCAGAATCTGAGATGCAATAGCTTGTCAGACTGTCTGAAAAAACATGTCTGTTCTGAAAGGCAGGTAGGTGGGAGTGACTGGCTGAATAAAAAGTGCACAGGGTAACCGTGTAGGGCGTAGGACTCTGTAAGTATTTAATCCTCTTGTGATTCAGAAACTTGAGCTCTCAAGAAGCAAGCTCTTCCTTGGAGGGGAGGAGAGAGGGAAAAAGGGAACGGGGAGATGCAGGGTACAGAAATCAGCTGAAACACTCCATGCTGGTTCTGACTCTCCAGCTCGTGCAGGAAGCTGTAGAACCGAGGCAAGGTTAATTCTGCATATACATTTTCAGTTTAATTTCCTTTCTCAACCACCAACTTTAATTGTAAAATTCTGCTTACCATTTTCTCCAGTTTGTTGCTCCCAGATCTCACTCCAAATTTCCACTCCATATGTACAAGCTGGTTAATCATCAGAGTCTGACCTATGGCCCGCCAGGCAAGGGTGGGGACATTCTATTTCCACTTTTCAGAAAAGTAAATGGCCTGGCTGGGTACAGTGGCTCAGACCTGTAATCCTACCACTCTGGAGGATTGAACTGGGAGGTGAAGGCAGGAAGATCACAGAGCTCTGGAGTTTGAGACCAGCCTGAGCAAGAGCAATACCCTGTCTCTACTAAAACTAGAAAAATTAGGCGTTGTGGTGGACACCTATACTCCCAGCTACTCAGGCGGCTGAGGCAGGAGGATCACTTGAACCCAAGAGTTTGAGGTTGCTGTGAGGTAGGCTAATGCCAGGGTATTCTAGCCTGGGCAACAGAGTAAGACTTTGTCTTGAAAAAAAAAAATTTTCTTTTTTTTGCAGTTTTTTGGCCGGGGCCAGGTTTGAACCCTCCACCTCCGGTATATGGGGCCAGCGCCCTACTCCTTGAGCCACAGACACTGCCCTCAAAAAAAATTTTTTTTAAATAAAATTCACAAAAAATGAATTTCAGAAACGTGTTTTCTAGAAAGATTTTCAAATTTAGCTTTAAAAAAGTCAGAACATTTTAAAATATTCTATCTTCAACTACTAAAATTAAGAGGTAGCTTATAGCCAAGAGTTCAACAAACGTTATTGTTTAATATTTTGGCCATCATAAATCAGGTTATATTTTATATTGATTAGTGATAATAAATCTGTCCAGGATAACTCACTTTTGCATAACACTTTCCTTTGTTCTTCATTGTCTTTATACTCAACAGCATAAAGTATAAATCAAAGATAATTTATCATCCTTCATGTCATGAGACATGATTTGGGAGTCTTTCCTATCTATGAAATTTTGAGGTGACCAAATTCACAGTAAGCTTTTTAATCATCCTTACAAGCTGTGAGGAATTCTCAAACAGAATTTGGGGTTGGAAGACTTACGTCTAAATAGAATTAAAGAACAAAAAGGCATGTACATTTCTAATAGATTTTTAAATGTGATGAATGATAACATTTTAACAAATACTTGAGCTGTAATGTAATCTCTATTATTTTCCCTATTATTACTATCCAAAACATGTAAAATATTATTTGGATATAATGTTCTTAAGATTGCCAAGCTAACATATTCTCTCGGTATTTAAAATAACTCATGACTCGGCACCTATGGCTCAGACGGCTAAGGCATCAGTCACATACACCTGAGCGGGCGGGTTCGAATCCAGTCTGGGCCCGCCAAACAGCAACGATGGCTGCAACCAAAAAATAGCCAGGTGTTGGCTCAGCACCTGTGGCTCAAGCGGCTAAGGCGCCAGCCACATACACCTAAGGTGGCGGGTTCGAATCCCCAGTCTGGGCCCACCAAACAACAATGATGGCTGCAACTAAAAAAAAAAAAAAAAAGTGGCCAGGCGTGTGGTGGGCACCTGTAGTCCCAGCTACTTGGAAGGTGGAGGCAGGAGACTCGCTTGAGCCCAGGAGTTGGAAGTTGCTGTGAGCTGTGATGCCATGGCACTCTACCCAGGGGGATAGCTTGAGGCTCTGTCTCAAAAAAAAAAAAAAATAGCCAGGTGTTGTGGTGGGCGCCTGTAGTCCCAGCTATTTGGGAGGCTGAGGCAGGAGATTCGCTTGAGCCTAGGAGTTGGAGGTTGCTGTAAGCTGTGATGCCACACACTGTACTCAGGGTGACAGCTTGAGGCTCTGTCTCAAAAATAAATAAATAAAATAAAATAAAATAAAATAACTTATTTGGCAGTACCTGTAGCTCAGTCGGCAGGGTGCCGGCCACATACACCTAGGGTGGCCGTTTCCAACCTGGCCCAGGCCTGCTAAGCAACAACGACAACTACAACCCAAAAAATAGCCAGGCATTGTGTAGTCCCAGGAGGCAAGAGAATCACTGAAGCCCAAGAGTTTAAGGTTGCTGTAAGTGTGATACCACAGCATTCTACCCAGGGTGACAGCTTGAGACTCTGTCTCAAAAAATAATTAATTAATTAACTCATTATATTTTCTTATCAGTTGAATTATTGAAGTTCTTAATCATTTTTCATCCTAACATTAATAGATTTCGCAATCATCTGTTGCAACATTTTATTCCTGCAGTAATAAGTATACACTTATTTCTCAAAAGACAATTGAGTTTAAACATGGAGTTCCGTTCCAAGTCACATGCAGTGAAAGTGTTGCTGGAGCCTCTGATCAGAGACCCAGGAAGAAGAAACTGCAGACAGGATGATTGATTTGAAGGGAGGTCGGGACTCACTCTGGTCGGCGACCCAGCCTAACTTTACTGATTATCTTATATACTTTTAAACATTCAGTAAGAATTTAACACAGATACAAAGGAGTGAAGTACCATTAGGAATCTACCATTTAAGATTACAATTCAGTGTGAAGGCTGAGGAAAACATATACAATTGATTTTGTTTAGAGTAAAAACATAAGGTAGACTGCTTGTCTGTCCTTGCTGGCCCAAACTGAAACTAGAGATTATAATGTTAATGAAGGAAGAAGACAGAGAACAGAACCCAACTCTTGAGGACAGGCAATACATGCTCCCAGCTGCGACCCCGGCTGATTCTCCAGAATTCCTTAACAAAGAGAAATTCTGCATATTTCTGCATTTCTATAGGCAGATGCAGAAGCTCGATCTTTGAAGAAATCTTTCTCAGAATCAATCTCCTGGGGGAGCACATTGAAGCGAACTGCCATGTCTGAGCATGGGATACTTATCTCTACAATGCAGAGTGTTTACCTCCGTTTGAAAATGAGTACTCCTATGTTAACAATAAATTCAAATATTATACCTTGTTAGTATTACTGAAGGTTTTATGCTTATTGGACATGCTGGTAAACCATGCATTTATGAAATCATCGAGCACACACAAGTTCAGGGCATGAGAAATAACACCAAAGTAGGTATTTGGATAAATCCTTCCAAAGAGTGAGACCGAGGCTGAATATTGAGACCAAAGTCAAAATTGGGTTTTTCCAGCTAGGGTGAGGTGGCTCGTGCCTGTAATCCTAGAACTCTGGAATGCCAAGGCAAGAGCATCCCTTGAGCTCAGGAGTTCTAGTCCAGCCTGAGCAAGAGGGAGACCCTGTGTCTACTAAAACTAGGAAAACTAGCCGGATATTGTGGTAGGCGCCTGTAGTCCCAGCTGCTTGGGAGGCTGAGGCAAGAGTTTTCACTTCAACCCAGGAGTTTGAGGTTGCTGTGAGCTATGGTGATGCCACTTCAGTCTAGCCAAATCATACAGAGCAAGACCCTGTCTCAAAAGAAACATACATTCATTTGTTTATTTATTCATATAACAAATATCTATCAACTACCTACTATGTGCCAGGCATCATATTAGTCTCTAGGTAAATAAAGCAAACATGGACTTTGCAAGTGTGGCGGCTATAACCCGTTAGAATATTCCAAGTAGAGAGAATGCACATGCATTGGCCTTGCAGGGGTGGAGCTTGTTCAAGAAACTGAAAGAATAGCCATGTGGCTAAAGCCTGGTTGGTGTGCAAGGGAAGGGGGCTACACGATGAGATTTGAGGTATGAGGGAGACCACACAATACTTTGATGTTTGGACTTAACACAAATTCTGGAACAAATTACTCATTAAAGTAGAGGAGCGCTTGTCTTTCTCCAGGTGCTTCTGTTTGCTGATAGCTTCTGCTTCCTCAAATTTTGGTTTTATCCCCCTCCTCCTGCCATCACCCACTCCACTGTTCAGCCTTGACTTTTACTAAGGCATCTTTTCACGTTCAAC